CCACCATGAAGGTAAGGGGACAGAACATGGAGTAGCCAGTGGTGGCCTTGGTGGATAGCGGGGCTACTCATAACTTCGTCTCCAATTGGGTCGTGGACCAGTGGGAATTGAAGTTGGTGGATACAAGGAGCTTTGGAGTCATGATGGGAATGAGAAAGGTAAAGAGGGGTAGTGTGATTTATAAGAGGTTGGTGTTGGCACTCCAAGACATACAGATAGTGGAGGATTTTCTTTCCTTAGATTTGGGGACCACTGATGTGATCCCAGGGATGAAATGGTTGCAAACAATCGAGGAGACCGAGGTGGCCTGGAAGTCCTTGACCATGGAGATTTAAGTGGAGGGGAAGAAGGTGGTGCTGCAAGGAGATGCCATCCTATGCAGAACCAAAATCATGGTCAAGGCGATATAGGGAGCAGGGCTGGGATACTAGGTAGAGCTGCAAAGTTTAAAAGGGATACTAGGTAGAGCTGCAAAGTTTAAAAGGGATCTGAAATTCAGAGGCAAACAAGGTTCTAGAGTGTGTACATCAGCTTCTTTAGTAGTTTCTTGGGGTTTTTCATCAGCCTAGCAGATTACTGCCACCCCGGAAGCACTGGCATGTTATTACCTTAAAGGAGGGAGCTTCTCCTATTAGTGTCCGACCATACTGGTACCCATATTCAAAAGGATGAAATAGAGAGACTCATCAGAGAGATGCTAGAGGTAATGTGAGCCCCTTTGTCAGCCCAATTTTATTAGTGAAAAAAAGGACGATAGTTGGAGGTTTTGAATGGACTATAGAGTACTAAACAAGGAAACTGTGTTGGATAAATTTCCTATCCCGTGATTGATGAGCCATTGGAGGAGCTATTTGGGTGGTCATCTTCTCAAAAAATTACCTGAAATTAGGATACTACCAGATCACAATGAAGTTGGAGGATATGGACAAGCAGCTTTCAGGACTCATGAAGGTCACTACGAATTTTTGGTGATGCCTTTCCACCTTACTAACGCTCCAGTCACTTTTTAGTCCCTAATGATTCGGGTCTTTCAACCATGCCTCAAAAAGTTTGTCTTGATATTTTTTGATGACATCCTGATCTACAGTTATATGGAGACAGAGTATGTGGGTCACCTGAGGACCGTTGTAGAGAAATTGAGGGAGCACCGACTGTATGCCAACTTGAAGAAATATTCTTTTGCACAGCCATAGGTGTACCTAGGACATGTGGTGAGCAAAGCAGGGGTAGCAGCAGACCAGTCCAAGATTGAGGAGACGCTGGACTGGCCTTTACCTAAGAACCTTAGGGAGCTGAGAGGGTTCTTAGGCCTTATTGGATACTATCAAAAGTTTGTGCAACAGTATAACATGATAGCATGACCATTGACTGAGCAGCTAAAGGACAATTTCAATTAGGGGGACATAGCGACATAGGCTTTCGAGCAATTGAAGAAAGTCATGACCAACATACTAGTGTTAGCACTTCCCACCTTCAGCAGGCCATATGGCATGAGAGTAGTGTTCATACAGGATCATCGATCTATTGATTATTTCAGTCAGGTGCTCACTACCAGGTCGAGGCTCAAGTCCGTATACGATTATGAGTTGATGACGATTGTCTTGTCCATTCAAAAGTGGCGATCCTATTTGTTTGGAAAACATTTATCACCAGGTTAGACTAGAGGAGCTTGAAATTTCTATTGGAGCAAAGGATGGTGATTGAGGAGCACCTGAGGTGGTTGTCCAAGTTATTAAGATATGACTTTGAGATTCAGTATTAACCTTGTTTGGAGAATAAGGCCGTGAACGTGCTATCATGAAAAACGGAATGATAGCTTTGTAGTACCTATAATTCTAGATTGGGAAGCTCTCAAACAGGAGAGTGAGCAGGATGAGGGACTGAGGAAGATCATAATTAAATTGCTGTAGAACCCAGACAGTCATCCCAGTTACACCCTGAGAGGAGCCCAGCTACTACATTAGGGGAGATTTGTTTTAATGGGGGGATCAGGATATATCCCCAAGCTGTTGTAGGAGTTTCAAGGAAGCGTAGTTGGAGGATATTCAGGGGATTAGAAGACTTACAGTCGGTTATCAACAAAATTATACTGGGTGGGGATGTGTTGCGATGTGGAGGACGGGTAGTGAGATGTGATGTATGCCAGAGGTACAAGTACTTTGCCATGATGTTAGTAGGGTCATTACAGCCTCTAGCTTTGCCAGAGAGGATGTGGGAGGAGTTGATGATGGATTTCATTGAGGGGTTGCCTCATTCAGAGGGATATTTAGTGATACTGGTAGTAGTGGATCGTCTGAGCAAATGTGTACACTTCATCCCTCTAAAGCACCCCTTACACTGTGGTCTCTGTGGCTATTGCTTTCATATGAGAGGTGGTCTGCTTGCATGGATATTCAAAATTCATTGTGTCATACATAAACAATGTATTCCTTAGCCATTCTGTAAGGAGTCATTTTGTTTACAAGGGACAATCCTAAAGAGAAGTATAACATACCATCCTCAGATAAATGGCTAAACAGAGGTAGTCAATAGACATATTTGAGATGCATCGTGTCAGACATGCCTAAGAGTTTGGAAGTGGATTGCTTGGGCCGAATATTGGTACAACACCTCATAGCCTTCAACAGCACAAACTACCCTTCTCAAGATTCTCTATGGGAGAGATCCACCTCTTTTGATTCATTATGGATATAGCACTACACCAATATCCAGTGTAGACCAATACTTAGAGGAAAGGGACAGGATATTATCTGAGCTCATGGAACATTTGTTGAGAGCCCAATAGATCATCAAAGGGAAGGCGGATGAGCATAGGAGAGAAGTACACTTCTAGCCAAGGGACATGGTTTATTTAAAGTTGAGAACCTACAGGCAGAAGACATTAGCAAGGATGAGGATTAAAAAATTATCTCCACGATACTTCTGACCTTATGTGGTTTTGGGGCACATTGGAGCCATGGCCCCTATCGATTGAGGCTACCACCTTCATCAGCATTGCACCCAGTCTTTCATGTCTCACAGCTAGGGAATGTGATAGGAGACAACACACCATCTTCGCTACCCCCGACCTTGACAGAAGACATGTAGGTCATTTTGGAACCTTTAAGAGTAGAAGTGGTGCACGGAAGAGAAACAGGGGCACCACAAGTATTAATCAAATGGAAGGATTTGCCGGAGCGCGATGCTACATGGGAGCCATACAAGGCGATCATGAGACAATTCCCCTTGAGGGCAAGGCGCATATTTGGGAGGCGAGTATTGTTACAGGCGGAACTCTTCCGCCCAGCTCAACAGAGCCAAACCTAGCCAAAGAAGGGGGGATGGGGGAACTAGATCAGTAGAGCGGATTCGACTCCCCTTGTGGGGCCCAAGAAAGCTATAATTCATTATGTAAGAAGGAAAAGTCTAGAGAGCAATAATTATGAAGGATTTAATGATGATTGGGAGGTAATTATATAGGGAAAGAGTTCAAAATTGAAAAGAAATTAATTTAGGAAAGGAGGCTGATTTGGAATGGGAGTAGGAGCCTATTTAAAGGCTAATTATGTATTATTTTGGGTTACGCAATTGTTTTTTTTTGCTGTAGTTTTTCTTTGAGAATTTTCTAGCTGTATCTAGGATTTGTGGGAGAGCCGATCTACCTCATATTTGTATTACAACAATGTCTTCTTTTCTACTTTGCTGTTTTTACTTCCAAAATACATCATATTTGTCCGTAATTTCATTAAAGCATAAGCAACACATGGTATACATGAAATCAAGAATAATGTCCTCCGAACATTAATATAATAGTATTGATTGGTTATTTAAGTGTATACAGTGGTACCCGTCCCGCCAAGTATAATGATTAGTTGAGGTTTCATCTAAAGACTTACCACTGTTCTAAAGGGTCATGTGAGGAAGTTGTGACTCGAGTAGAATGTAAAATAATTCACACTGCCTTTTTTTGAGGTAGCTTATGAAGCCTCTTAGGAAGAAAGTAGTGCCATTACTTGCATGATTAGATTCTTTGAATGCTCATGTAATCTCAATTCCTCTTTTCAATATAGCATGATGAATGCAAAGATGCCTATTTAGAAAAATCATGTAGTTATCTTGGGGTGCAATATTCCAAGACCTAGTTAAAAAAGCGTTAGATAAGCATATGCATTTAAAACTTACCAACCAAAACTTGCCTTTAAATATTTAGGCTATGGCTTGTCACTATTAACAACCCATGCAAATTTTCTATATTATGAATTTTAAGTTTGTTTAATAGTTTTTACCATTTCTTATAAAAAACTTATATTCAATGCTTCTTCTTCGAGAAATATATCACGTAGCAGGTATAGATTCTTACTAAACCTTGGAACTTTGTATTGTTTCACTATCCATAACATGATATTTCGGTAAAAAAAAGGGAGAAAAAAATTCCTTAAATTCAAATTCGGTCCTTTCTCTTTGGGTGCTATTTGGTTTGTTGCATTAGAAGTGTAATGTATTTCAAATTTAGGGGTTTTGAAAATATTGGTATTTGATTTGAAGTAGAAGGAATATAGAGTAAAATTTTGAAGTTAAAAGAATTCACCCTCTAGTTCAAATCTAATATATTTGGGCAATTTTCAAATATACTAGAAACTCATTGCCATTGCCATCGCTTCTAGTAGCTGGCCCCTGCCGGCCGTCAACCTCTACCACCGCCGGTTCCCACCCGCCATCGTCGGCTGCCCACCGCCATCGTTAGCTGTTGCCATCGGCCCCCACTCACCACCAACCCCGCTTGCTATCACTGGTTGCCCTCACCGCCATTGCATTCACTTTACTTCAAGCCAAAAAAAAAGTAAAAACCTGCCTTTACTTTATACAACCAAATAACTCCAAAGTATTTCAAATACACTATAATCTTCTTACATTGCATTTTTTTTAGACAACCAAACAGTCCATTAGTCTTTATATGAGTTTCCCCTTACTTTGTAAAGAAATTGATCATCATTCGAGTTGACAAAATTTTCCATTGCCAGCTAGTATTGTTGTCAACTCTGGTTCAATTCTTGGAAGGCTACTATGTCTGCAGTCGGTGAATCAATGTGGAAAATTTGATGAGAAGATTTTGTTTTCCCTTAGTCCTCTACAGGTATCTACTTCACATGCTTATTTTGTTATATGATGAATTTGATGTTTTTATCTTCACTTCTTATTCAACAAGTGAATGTATTCACTTGTAGATTAACCACAAATATCGACATATATTATGTTTAATGTTAGTAAAATATGCTTTTCTATGCCATGGCTCAAATTTTTCTTCATATGTTGGAGTTTATATATAATATATTTCGTTACTTCAATTGCTTTGACGCCAACTGTTTAGTAATTTGATTTGCAAAGCTTGTTTGCCTTTGTACATGTAAGCAAATTTAAAGGAAACGAGATTGTTGCCATAATTATAATGAATTGGTTGGGAGAGGGATGCGCAAAGAGAGGAATTACTATGTTAGGTAGTGACGCAAACTTATTGTTGGTATGAATTATATCATTTTATGAAACTTTTTTTTTTCTTTTATTCTGAACCTTTCAGGAGGAAAGATTGCAGTATTTAAAGAAGAGACTGGATGTTTCATTTGATATTTCTCGTTTTGATCATCAGGTACACCCTCTATTCTTATCTCCTAAATAACTTTATAACTTCTATAATGCCATGCTATCCAACTGACCTGCTGACTCTCTCATTTGGTAGGTTACATTCCATAGTTGATTTAAACTACGTTCATGCCAGAATGATATCATTCTTCTTATTATAATGTGATTACTTGTTCTGTCAATGGCTCAAATTTTTTATTTCCTTACGACTTATCTGTCTCAGGTTGCTCTGAAGCAGCTATGGAAACTGGCTTATCCACAGCGTGAACTTCCTCCTATCAAATCAGAAAAATGGAAGGATATGGGTTGGCAAAGTGCAGATCCATCAACAGATTTCAGGTTTTCCTCCATGAGAACAGCAAGTCATGCCATTAGCATGTAACTACTTCTTAACAGGAATTAATTCTGATAAATTCTTTCAGGAGTGCTGGATTTTTATCCTTAGAAAATCTCATCTTCTTTGCCATGCATTATCCAGTGAAGTTTTCATCCTTAACTGATCTACTGCTCCTGATTTCTGTATATGTTATCTTCTACAAGTTTTTGACTATATTTGCCGTAGGAATCCTTCCAAAGGATTTTACACAAACAGGATGGAAAGAGGTCTGAATTCGAGTATCCATTTGCAGCAGCTGGTGTCAATATATCTTTCATGCTTACCCAGATGTTGGGGCTGCAACCAGGTAATCAGTATACAAATCATCTCACATCAACATGATATGTAGGTTTTCCGCTCAAGCTGTAGTATGTTGATTTCTACAGATTCCCAAACAACTATACCCGGAAGTCATTTTCTTGAACTACTAGAGCTTGATGATATGGCATTTGATCGTCTTTATTGTGTCGCATTTCAGCTTCTAGACTCTCTATGGCTTTCTAAACATGCAACTTATATGGAATTCAATGTAACAGATTTGTCTTTTTAATATAATTAACAGTAATTCATTCATTGGATCATCTCTTTTCATTACTATATGGGTTCTTTCCAGGAGATTCTGAAATCTACACGAGCACAATTGGAGAAAGAGCTGTTGCAGGAAAGTGTATCCAGGATTGAGGATTTGCCAGCATACCGACTTTTAAATAGGTAGTAGCTTGTTTTCTATGATAATTGCAAGGCAGATATTCTTTTTATTGTAACGATGATTTCATAATTTATTGAAAAAAAAGAATTTTTTTTAATATTATTAGATTTGTTCATGGCTCATGCATGTCATATATTTGTCAAACTCCTGAAAATACAATTGTTAGTTATTCAAAATTTGGATAATTCAGTGTTAAGTAAATGATAGGAATGCAACACAAACTCTGTTTGTTGAGGTTATAATATCCAAAGCGCCATTTAAGTATTTATTTACATGTGTTTGATCAGCACTTGTGATTTAATGACAAAGTTACTTATTAGAGGATATGTGCCATGTTAATTATTTTAGAATGAATTGTAACAATACACTTGATAAGACATTAAGTCATTATGAGTTGAGAATTTTCTCAAATTTATCATTCTAAACAAATGATTGCAGATGGTAGATGAATTTTGCTTTAGATTTTAAAGGTAGATTTGACTTGAAATATTTTTATATTTCAAACTTTGAGATTTCAAATCTTGTCGAGATTTACGCTGGAATTAATTTTCCATGGGTATTTTTTATATAAAGAGTCATCTTCGGTTGAGATGTACTTTCAACATGATCATCATCAGGTTGACCTTGAAGTCAATTAAATTATTTATGTGAAAAATGGATCCTTTCAATCGAGATTTTCTTTCAACATAGTCATTTTTAGGCAGATGTTGAAGTCACTTGAATTATTTATATTTACAACATGAAAATTTAATTTTAAAAATGGACTCCAATTGAAAATCCACCCAACAAACTAGACCACTTCAAGTGATTTTTTAGAGAGGGGTCCTCTGCCTTCTCACTGTGAAGCCCATGATCTATTTCATCTAGCCATATAAGTAATGAAACTGAACCCTAGCTGCATTTCTAGTGGGTTGGTCTATAGGGATTAGCAAGTCATGGTTAGGTGTACCAAACTTGTGCTTAGAGAGCCTTTGTCCCTGAAGGCTTTAGCGACTTGCCATTGCACCAATTGATGTGGTGAATGACATGGCACGCAAGTTGCTGAGTGATGATCAACTGGGTGGGTGTCATGGCGGGGCATGAGTCGCTAACACCACTAGCAACTGGGCTTGGCTAAAAAAAGGATGATCTGCATTATCACCGTGAGAGCCGTGGGAGAAATGAAAAAAGTTGCATTAGACTTATGAGTTAGGAGTTTTGAGAAGGAGAAGCTCTCCATCTCAAATCTCACTGTTAGAAGTCATCTCGGAGCTCATTCTGCTGGTAAAGCCGCTAGCAATTTCTCCACCAGATCTAGTCGACGATTGCCAGATCACGCTCGTTCTAAACCAAAGTTGCCCATCTCTAACGAGAAAGCATTGTGAGTTTTTCTTTTAGAAAATTTTGACTGAGTTAGATCAAAATTATTTTGTGCAGTATAATTTTTTTTAAATTTTTTGGAAAATATATATGTGAGTTAATTATTTTGCAGAATAGTTCTGTAATAATAAAGAATTGATTAATTTAATTTTTTCAATAAAATGTTTAAATGAGTTTAGTAGTAGTTATAAGTTCAATAATTTTTTTAAGCATTTTTTTACTTGATTAACTACTACTAATACAACAATATCAAGCCTTTATCCCACTATGTGGGGTCGGCTACATGAATCATTTTTCTCTATTATGTTTTGTTAATAGTCAAATTTTCATTTAAATCTAATAAAGAAAGATCATTTCTAGTTTCTAACAAAGTTTTGTTAGGTCTACCACTACCTTTCCTAACATGAACCAAATCTAATACATCTACTCTCATAAACGGGTCATCGGAAGGCTGCCGTTTTATGTGACCAAACCATCTAAGGCGACTCTCTCTATTCTTATTGGCCACTGGTGCTACTCCAAACTTTTCACATATATGCTCGTTACGTATCCTTTCTCTAAGAGTAAAGCCACTTATTCACCTGAGCATCCTCATCTCCGCAACACTTAATTTAATATTATGCTCCTCTTTTAATGGCCAACATTCTGTGTCATAAAAGCATTGCAGGTCTCACCATCATTTTATAGATATCCCTTAAGTTTGAGTGGTACTTTTCTATCACACAACAAGCCTGATGCATTCCTCCACTTCAACCAACCAACTTGAATTTTATTAATAATATCCTCATCTATTTCACCATCACTCTAAACAATAGATCTAAGATATCTAAAATGTGTACTCTTATTAATGACTTCACTTAAAGTTATAAACCCCCTCATTAGATCTATTACTACTAAAATTATACTCAATGTATTCAGTTTTAGATCTATTCAAATGAAAATCCTTAGACTCTAATGTTGACCTCCATAATTCAAGTTTACCTTCAACTACCTCTCTAATCAACAAAGAAGAATGTCATCAACAAAAAGCATACACCAAAATACATCCTCTTGCAAATGTCTAGTCAGAACATTCATGACTAAAGCAAAAAGTTATGAGCTTAAGGCTGATCCTTGATGCAATCCAACTGCAATAGGAAAATACTTGGTCAAACCACCTTGCGTTTGAACACAAGTAACAACTCCTGCATACATATTCTTTATGACTTGAATATAAGCATTATTAACCCCTTTCTTATGTAGAACTCTCTATAGCACTTCTCTTGGAACTTTATCATATACTTTCTCTAAATTAATAAAAATCATATGTAGATCTCCTTATTCTCTCTATACTTATCCATCAACCTCTCAATAAATGTATAGCTTTCATAGTAGACCTACCCGGTATGAATCCATCTTGATTTTGAGAAACATTAGTATCATGATGTAACCTATTTTCTATAACTCTCTCTCATAGTTTTAAAGTATGTCACATCAACTTAATTCATCTATAATTCGCACAATCTTGTGTGTCACCTTTATTCTTAAAAATAGGAATCAACACACTTATTCTCCACTCATCTGACATCTTTTTAGTCTTCAAAATAATATTAAAAGTTCAGTAAGCAAAGGAATTCATTCATCTTCTAAGCATTTCCACATCTCTATTGGAATATCATCAGGTCTAACAGTTTTTTCAATTTTCATTTTCTTTAAATCCTCTTTATCTTCAATTTTACTAATACACTAATAAAAATAAAAATATCTATTTTCATTTAGAGTGCTGAGGTCACTAAAGTCAATCGTATTTTCACAATCTTCATTAAAAAGCTTAACAAAATATCTCATGCACCTTTGTTGAATATCCTCTCCTAAAAAAACATCTTTTTTTACTTTATTAACTAATGAAAAAATATGATCATATAAAATTAGAAGAATATTTAGAATATCATTGTGAGTTGTAGTGCAGTAATAAATTTAAAATTTTATTATATAAGCAAAGTCGCTGGCTAAAAAGATTTAATTAATTTTTAAAATGGTTGATTATAAACTTTTTAAGTTGTAGTGATTTGGATAAGGAGCTTATAGCGCATTAAGCATTGTATTTTAATTATAAACCTGTTATTAGTCTATGTTAATCATATAAAATGCTTGAATGGGTGCTCGACATCACTTACGATCCTGCATAATGGCCAGTTGAATATCGATGATCAGTTTTCACCTATATATACAGGAGGTAGAATTCATCTATTACAATCCTGACATACACAAATCTATAGCAGGTTAAAATACATGTTCTTAAGGCATTTAAGTATGACACGTTAAGATGTATAGTGAAGTTGGTATGTCGTATACCTGTGAGAAATAATTTTGTCGCAACTTATGTTAATGAAGAAGTCTATAATCTATATATGAAGTTTTGTTGTATCATGCTTCTAGAGAACTTATTTTTTATGTTATTGACACAATGAGTATTGAAATAACCAATGTCGATAATCTGAATGTCCATATTAGGGATTCCTATAACTTCGATCATGAGCTTGAAAGAAGTACAACCACTCAAATGCAAGTGACAGATGCAGTTCCATCTGTACAATAAGTGTTTAAATAACTTTATGTTCAATCATCCTACCTCTACTATGTTGAATGTCACAACTGTTTTGTTGAATTCCTGCTACTCGATAGGTTCATTTAAAATTAAGCTGATCAAATTATGGCAGCGTCATCAATATAATAATCTTGTTGTAACATGTGTGAAGGAGAAGGTTATGAGTGTATCAGGCCTACACTTGTTGAAGGGTATGAGACAATGAGTAGTAATTTTATTGAACAGTCTGCTAATAGTACAGGTGACTCAGCATCTAATTTAGGTGAATATGATACAACAAATTATTATGTCCTGCAAAATCTCATTAGAAATTATTGTGTTAGGACTATCAGTACAGAAGAATGTATGATTTGCAATAATGATTTTGCATATTCAAGAGTGGGATGAGGATATTGCCTTTCACGATGCAAGTGAGAGGAATATAGCTAGAGAAGAATTACATATTTAAGATAAATTAGTTGAAGGGATGTGCTTTGCAAGTAAGAAAAAACATACTGTTCGCCTTATATGATTAATTTATATTGAATTTATAATACTAACATTGAACAAACAGAAGTTAATCGTAGCATGTTTACAATATGGAGCTGCTTTTAGGCCTTGCTTATGGCGTTTGCATGCTAGTTCAAGCAAGCACTTTAGGGGAGCGTAGAAGATTTCTAGTCTAAGAAATGATCACACATGCATAACTCGGATGCTTTTGATTAGACACAGACAATACACCTTTAGATTTATCAGCTACTTCATGGTGCCAGCAATTAGACAACATATAGACCTAAAACCCAAGGAGATAATAGGCCATATGGAAGCCAAATTCAATATTATGGTGTCCTACATCTAGGCATGAGATGCTAGAGGAAAGGCCACTAGAGTTATCTTTAGTAGTTAAGAGTGTATAGGACATTTAACTTGTTCATGAAAGTCATTACCTTAGTTATGCTAGAATGACGCTGGCGGCGGAGGCGACACGGCGACGGACAAGAACATGCGAGCTGCAAGAACTCGCAACTCACACAAGACCCAAGAACTTCTTGGAAGTGGGATCACCACCTGAAATCCTTCAGGATACAGAAACCCAAAACAAGAGTAAAACTAAATTCTTATTCATCTCAACCATCTCTCTATTACAAGTGTTAGCTATGTATATATAGCCAAAAGAAGCAACATACTAGGCTACACAAACAAAAAAAAGCATTACACCTATATAGAAATACAAAATATCATATGAAATTAAATGGCTGTGAAGTTCAACATGATCAATGGCTCAGCTCCGACGTCATTCTACCGGGGTAGGAGAAACTTCAGACTCATATGAATATGTTCGGTTGGCCGCCATAAGGAGGCGGATTTGGTTGGCTAAATCGATCTAGATATTCCCACCCGGTATCAATTTGCCTACCAATCTTTAATTTCTCAATTGTAGTATAAGCATATGTAATTGGCTTATCATAATCCTTGGAATTCAGAAACTCGTTTATACCAAAAATGGTTACAATGGATCTTATTTTTGGCTTTGCAATGTTGAGCGTTGCCCCCAACCCTATGAAAATACTACAACCGGGAATACAAACTTTGTCGAGAGGAGTAGATGGATCAAGCTTGCCAAAACAACCATCATGAACTGCTGTGTATTCACTGAAGGTTGAAGTTCCAAGGAAGTGGTGGATGGAAGTTCCTTTTACTGTAAATCTTGATCTTCTATCGCTTAACATTATACTTCTATCAGTATCAATCCACAACAAATCACACATATTATTCTTTTCTGATTTACAATGCACACCTTCCTTGCTTTCGCCTATGAAGATAGGAAGAACATTGTCTCCTTCCTTGAGTTCATTAACACCCTCACCAATACATTCAACAATTTCTTTGGCTTTGTGGCCGAAGATGCGAGGAAATAAGGGAGTATGATGCTTAGCCTCCCAACAATAGAGATTGGTGCGGCGAAGCGAAGCTTACTTGATCTTATCATAATTATCATCTGCGGGTTGCTCCAAATCAAAAACTCCATCGAACATGTCATCATCATACGCGTCGTACACAGGATTAGACAACGGATTCGACAACGGATCTTCAAGTTCTTCGAAACTGAACTCGATCGAGCGTGGGGTGGAAGACTGACGAGGTGTTCTTTCAAACACATCTTTGTGGGTAGAAGAGATTTGATCATCTGAGATGCCCTCGCCATTGTCAAAGGTTCGTAAGGATTTAGTTGGAATGAGGGATCTCGAATCCGTCGTGGCAGCATACTTGCCCCGAACACCATTAAAGTCCCGGCCAAGGGAGCTCAAGTTTTCCCTTCGTTCAATCCTTGATAGTCGTAGTTTGAGTCGTGACAATTCTTGTAGAAGATCTTCAATTTCTTCATCTTGATGTGATAACTGCATCGTCCACCAAGAAAGCATCTTGCTCTATTTTGGTGCTAATTTCTGGACCAAGAATTAAGAATTATGTTGTTTTTGGCGCTCGGAATGGCATCAGAAGCGGGCATCGAACAGGACGTCTGGATGGAACATAGTGGCTGGACTGTGGCTATTTTTTTTTTCTTTTATTTATTTGGACCCTACGAACCACTTGACGCTGAACACGCACAAACAGGTCTCGGCCAAGCAGATCTACAAGATCTTCAAAGCAAGCAATAGCCTCCAAAGGAAATGGAATGGACGGCCCAACACTCGGGCGGGACAAAAAGAGCAAAACTAGAATCACCACCGGCGTTCAGCGCTACTGTGCTTTCTATTGGAGGCTTAAGCGTTGACGAGTACAATGGCTTTGATGAGCAAGTTTTGACCATTTTCTCAGAGAAGAATGAATTCAAAGAAATTTGGTGGTAAGTCTTGTTATGCTATAGCGGGTGAAGTAGGTACTTCCTTTAAGAACTAACAGCTATGTTAGTTGCTATCCAAGACTTGAATAGCTAAGCAGTGAAAGAAGCTTGCTGTATTTTTTCATTTCTTGACTTGTTATGGATGTTTGGAGGAAATCATTTGGAGAAGATAACAGCAGGAATCTAGCGGCAGAAGATGACATCACCCTTCTTCTGGACCGCATTTCTTGATTGCTTGTAGGAGAAAGAAACCGCCAAAATGCAAGAGAGGAAGAGATGGAAACCTGTTTCACGGATGAGACTCACGAATGGACGAAAATAACGCACAACACTCTTCCGGGATGGATAGCATGGCTGCAGGAAACGGGAAGAACCTGATGACGCCAATCCATACACTTGGGGGATTGGCTCTGATACCAAATGACGCCGGTGACGGAGGCAACACGGTGACAAACAAGAACATGCGAGCTGCAAGAACTCGCAACTCACACAAGACCCAAGAATTCCTTGGAAGTGAGATCACCACCTGAAATCCTTCAGGATACAGAAACTTAAAACAAGAGTAAAACTACTCAATTCTTATTTATCTAAACCATCTCTCTATTACAAGTGTTGGCTATGTATTTATAGCCAAAAGAAGCAACATACTAGGCTACACAAACAAAAGAAAGCATTACACCTATATAGCAATACAAATATCATATGAAATTAAATGGCTCTGAAGTTCAACATGATCAACGACTCAGCTCCGGCGTCACAGAAACAATGTACTGATACAATCCAACAACACACATATTTAAGAGAATTTTTTGGGCTTTCGATCCCTCTACTTTTGGTTGGAGATTTTGTTGTCCAGCGCAGAGCCTTGACATAACATTTCTTCTTGATAAATATAGGGTACCTTACTAACTGCAATTGGCATGGAAGTAACTAATGGTCTAATCATCTTGGTTTTTGCTATAGTATAATCAGAATGGAATGAATCTCAGATATAGTTCCTTGGTTGCATTCATATTATTCTTCCAATTAGCTAGCGATCAAAACCCCCAACTGCTAGTACGTATTCATAATATAATCAATCAAACAAGGATGATAATAATACCTTTCTTAAGGAAACATAATTTTGCATTGTATACTCTGATCCTTATGATAAAACTCTTTTTCTAGCCATGAGTTTTTAATACATCTAGAGTTCATCCTAATATGCTAGGTAGCGGCAGTCCTGACCCATTATAAGTCTGGTTCAATAGTTATTGTTGCATTTAACTAAGCTATTGTATTCACTTCTTTTTATACTCTTCTATATCACTAGAGATTGTAAATCATGTAAATCTTTTAGATTTACCTCTTAGAATTCTCTGTCTATGAATTTTGAGTTGTTCTTTCTCAAATTGAGATCATAATGTCAATCATGAAGGATGTTATTCAAGGTTGTTAACAATGCGTCTCACGGTTGGGTCGGACTAATTAACTATTATAATAAGTTATTTGAGCCTTGATAACCTGGCTCTATTAAACCTATGAAATGTTGACCAATGCTATTTTTATCTCTGGTTTAACTTCTTACTCATCACTTATTGTCCTTTTGTGCCCATTGTACTCGTTTGTTGACTATTTAATGACTTAATTACTTTGGTAATATAAATTTCAATGTGAAAAGATGATATTTTTGTTTGGTTACGGTGATTCGCTCTTTATCTTATAGATTGATCTATTTTTAGTATATACTGCACTATTAGATCAATAATTTTTTAATCATATTCTTTCTTTTGATAATTGACTTAAACAAATTAAGATAAATATTTACTTATCAAGAGTTGCCCTTGGATGTGTTCTCAAGTGTAATTAATCTGAGGGAGTCCAGTCTTTTCAAAAGAGAGTAACTCATATTTTTTTTACTTGACTTTACTTTGATGATATGCACATTAACCTATTCATTTACAAACTACTAACATGAGACTTGTGATTAAATATAGCGAAATCACATTAAATAATGTGCACATTAACCTATTCATTACATTGTTTGTCCATTTTCGACCCACAAATTCAGTCAAAACGACATAAAAATCTTTCTTTTCCAACATGAAATGCCATTCTTCTATTTCACTGTACATTTTACGTTAAGAATCAGAAATATAAACCAACCAACTATTCTATTTCGGAAACTAAAGAGAATGAACCACCAACTCCTCTAAAGGAACTAGAACACCTTAAACTCCTCGTCTATATCTTCATCATCTTCACCATCATCATTCTTACAAGACAAGTGATTACTATACTGTCGAACTACTAAAACTGAACCAACCCCCATAAAATCACAGGAAGCCAATAGATCTCCTACTGACCCCAACTCTGGACATTCCACCCACTGATTCATCCCTCTAGTTAATGGCGACAGTCTATCTCTTCCTCTCCCCACAATAAACAAAGAGTACATGTTATCCATGGCGCATATCACTGCCACAGTCTCTGCAGCATTTCTTACATATTTCTCCACGTACATTGCCCGCCCAGTCGACATGGACCTGCTCATGAAAGTTGCCATGAAGGCTTCATCGGCCTCCATTTCTCTTTCATGGTTAGAGATGGCAACGAGAACTTCCTTATCGTCATTTGCTGCAGCCATCTCTAAGCCTGCATCGTGTTCGGCCCTTGATTCTGGGAGGAAGCGGATGACTGTGAGGAGAACGGAAGGGTGGAGGGCGAGTCGCATTCCGACGGCGAGGGCCTCGCGATCGTCGGCGCCGCCGAAGAAGAGGACGGCCACCTGGTGCATGGGGTGGTGGGGGTTAGGCCCATTCGTTGGGGTGTGGCCACCAACGCTGCCGTCGAGGCCTCGGTCGACCAGCACTCCCACTGTGCAAGGTATTCGTTTCATCACTCGTTCATTCAACTGTTGCACTGCAATCTTCCCTACCTGCATGTATTAAAATACTTTCACAAGTTATATATAAGAGCAATATGATAGGAGAGGTTCATATCTTTTTATAGAGAAATAATGTTAAACATCCATGTAAAAGCATAATAAGTGAGATTTAGACTTTCGTTTGGGATGACTTTTTTACTATTTAAATTAACTTTTTAGTATAAAAATGAATATTTTTATACTAAAAAGTGTTTTAAGAATCAGTAACAAAGCAGTCTCAAACGGAGCCTTTATATCATTAGATTATTATAAGATATAATAATCTTATATAATATTTATGATTAAATGGCATAGAACTAGAAAAGAAATATCTTCTATAATATCCATGGCTTTATATTCTCTTATATTGATAAATATTTTATATAGTTGATAATAATTTATGATTAATATAAAATAATGTATGAAAAAGCATTAATTTAACTAAAAAATATGAGTAGGAAAACTCTTTAAAGAGCGATGAGCAATATATAATATATGCATAATATCATCCCTATTTATTAGAATATAATTAAGGATAAGGTGAAGATGAATATTCTTATTAATAGTTATCTGCAAAAGTGAAAATTTAATCCTTAAACTGTAGAAATTATGTTCAGCTCATCAATTACACCAAATTCATTTAGGTTTCTTTTGAGATTTTTTTTTACTATGTTTTCTACGATTAGTTTTTTTTTAAAGTAGTAAAAAAATAATGACAAAAGTTATCCCAATTGAAAGAGGTCAAAAGCAATCCCAACCAAAGCCTTAGTATAAACTAAGGTTTTGTTTTAGAGGGTTTTTTTACTGCTTCTTAAAAACAACTTTCTAATACAAAAATTAAAAAAAGCTGTTTTTAAGAAGCAGGAAGAAAACCATCCTAAATAAAGCATAAGGTTTCATTTGAGATATATTACTTACAACTTTCTAAAGCTATTTTTTAATTTAAAAATTTTTTAAACTATAAATTTTGTACTAAAAAGTTGTTTTAAGAAGCAGTAAGAAAGAAAGTTTAAGATTTTATTTGAGATAACTTTCTTACTATTTTATAAAGTTATTGCATAAAGTAATTTTTTTTTTAAATTGTTATAGAAAATAGTTTCCTAGCATAATTTTTTTAAAGCGGCAATAATGCGAGGGTTAAATCAATCAAAAACCTAAATCTTTACCGCCAAAATAAAATTCACATAAATTAATTTGAAGTTCATTTGATTTAGACAGCTAAATCACATATATAGCTGTCATGAGATAAAATTTTATCATACTTAGGTTTAGTTTGGGATGATTTTTTTATTACTTTTTAAAATAGATTTTTAATTTAATTTTTTTTAAATTAAAATTTTTGTACTAAAAATATATTTTAAGATAAACTTTAGGATTAAAAATGACTAAAAGCACTTTCAGCTTTTTAAAAAATTGATTAAAAATAGCTTTTTTTTTTTGCTATAGTAAGAAAAGAATGTGGTAGCTAGAGAACTATGATTTACCTGCATCCTTCCATCTACCCTCTGGTGCTTATGAAATGGCATGAGCACCAACGAAGCCCTGACATCCACCGTCGCATTATACACGTCCTCCTGCATCGTCTCCATTGCCGACACCACCGTCACCTGCCGGAGCCCTATGCCAGTCTCAATACTGAACACGTCGGCAGCAGCAGTGATAATCCGCGCATCATCGCCACCGTGCTCCCACCCGCCGTCATCCTCAACGTCGTGCTGGTGGTACAATACGTAGGAGGCGGCGCCGGCGGTGAGCTCCACGAGGTGCATTAGGTAGGCTGCCAGGGGGGATTCCGGTGCGCCGCCGCCGCATATCTCAACGAGGTTGAGCATTGTGGGCACGTCGCGGGGGCCGTGGATGCAGGTGAGTATGCGGAGCTCCGCACCTATGGGATGGTGGTGCAGGTACGCACCGCGGTAGCGGAGGGAGCTGCGTTCTAAGCGGATGACGAAGGCGGCGGCGGGGCCAGCGGCGAGGGTGGCCATGAGCACGGTAACTAGGAGGACTTTTTGGGCTTCTTCTCCCCATATCTACGTGGAGTTTCACAATAGAGATTGCCACGTTAGAGAAATTACATTTATGATTTATGATCGCCAGATCTAATTTTTAGAGACAGAATGTAAAACGGGTACATAGGTAAAATTGTTGGAGTAGCTCTAACTGCAGGAAAATCGATCGCTATACAAAATCTGCAGGTAAAATCTAGTTTGCAGCGAAAAATTGTCCGACAATAATTCGCACGTCGGAAATTTTATTCCGTCGAAAAAATCTAGTGGACTTACCGGCAGAAAAATCGTAACCAAGACATCGTTTTCCTGAAAAGAATTCCGGTGTTTTATCTGCCCGAATTTCCGGCGGAAACTTTCTGCCATTAGCGCCGGCGGATAATCCGCTGGCCGGATGGTTTCGGCGGACAGTTTCCCACGGAAACCTCGGTAAATGAACTCTAATTTTAGCACTAGGACTAGGAACATACTTTAGTCTTCTAAATAAATAACAAGTAAATAGCGAGTAGTCTTACCTCTGCCCCTCTTGCTAAAGAAACAAGAACAAGATCCACATGCCCTTTGATATTGAGAAGAAAGCCAAGCACAATCCCCTCATACACTGCCATTCCAAGGTACCTTGTAGCCGCAAGCGTTCCCACCACCTTCGCAGCAATATTCAGCACCACCATCACAACCACCGCTCCCATCATCCCCCCACTAATACTGCTCATATCAGTACTAATCCCCGCAAATCCAAAAAATATCGGAAGAACAAACTTATTAATCGGATAACTAAGCTTATCCACCAACGTCCTCACTGTACAGCCTTCCCTCGGCATTACTAATCCCAACATGAAGCACGCCATAGTACTGTTATACCCCATCATCTCCATCATCACAGCCACTATGAACACAAAGAGTAATAATCCCACCATCTCCAAATGTCTGATGTGTCTTCTTCCTTCATTACGTTTGTTCATCCATCGAACCAGTGGCTTTAAAACCCAGGCTGAAATGGTCAGCATTAGAAGCGCTGTTAACCCACCTATAAGCTTCTGCGTTTGGGTTCTTTGGTTGTATGGGCCGGGACTGGTCGTGGTGGCGACGGCAAGGACGAGAAGGCAAGCCATGTCGTTGAGAAGGGACGATGATACGGCGAGGCGGCCGAGGTCTGAGGTGGCGAGCTTTAGTTCGGTGCACATGCGGATGACGATAGTGGAGGAGGTGTTGGTGTAGAGGAGAGCGAGGATAAGGAGAAAGAGGAGTGGGTTGCCGTTGGGGCCGGTGGCCCGGTAGATGATGGTGGAGGAGGAGATGGCGGCTATGAAGCAGGAGACAGCGGAGCCGGTTGTGATGATGATGGAGCGGCGGACGGAGCGGAGGAGGAAGGGGATGTCCATTTCTAATCCTACTAAGAGCATGAAGAACATGCGACCTGTTATGGCTATTGATCCCATGAGTTTGGTGTTGCTGCTGCCAAATGCGAATAACTCGCGCAATATTTTTATCTTTGATGTCATTGTTGGTCCCATCATCATTCCTGTCTGTTTAAAATAAAATCCATGTTGATCAGAATATCAGTAGTAAAGCTATGATTTTTTGAGAATTGAAGAATGAAAAAAAGACAACATACGAATATTTGGGAGATGACAGCAGGTTGGCCAATGCGATGGAAGATTGCTCGGTGAAGAAGGTGGGACAAGATGATGAGAGCTGCGCACTCGACGAGGATTCTCATCATGCCGGCCTCAAACGAGTTGCTGCAAAGACCAGTAAACTTGGCCAGAGGATTGTGCGCGTCCGCCGGAGTTACTGGTATCGTCGTCGCCATTGTTGCAGATGATTTAATGCTTAAATAGTTGAAGACCGAAGATGAAGAGGTAAGGGATTTTTTTTCCTATCTTCTAATTCATATCGCCATTGTTTTAGTCGTTACCACCATGATTGGTGTCTCTGCTGCAGTTCGGTGATTATCTTTCCTTCTTCATTTCTAGTTTCTGAGGTGGAGGTTTTTTTATTTGTTGGGGAAGAGAATGGTGTTTGTTTATTCGGTTTTGGTATGGTGGGATGAGCGAATTTCAATCTCTGATAACTGTTGTGTGAAAGGTTTATAATTAGCAGTTTGGTTTGTTCATTGATCTTCATTTTACCTGCTCCAGGAGCAGCTTAGGAGCAGATTAGTAACCGGTTTTATAAAGACGAACGCCGAAAAGCAAAATAAAATGAATTAAAATAGGCGGATTTACGTAAAATTTTTATGCATTTATATATTTAATATATAAATCTTCGTACTTATATATATATATATGCTAATGATTTTTATATGATTTAAAAATTTTAATATTATATAAAAATATGCAATTTTAAATATTAAATATGTGAATACATTAAAATTATGATAATTTTAAAAAGGGATTTTTACATACATAAAACCTTAAACTATAGTATAAACATATTTAACATCTAAATATTAGTATTTACTTATATACTACCTACAAACCCTTCTCCTCATATATATCACCATTATGCTACATCCCTTTAAAGCCACACCCCCAAAACATTCTTCTCCGCGGTCGCCTCACGTCTTCTTTGCTCGGAATTTGCTACTATGCCGCTTGAAACTTGCCTTAGGTCATAAAGTTTTGGTTTTTTGTTTTCTCTATCTTGTCATCGCTTGAGATCGGCTGGTTTGGTTTTTGTCTTCCCCATTCGATCTTGATGTTCGATTTTTGTCTGCTCCATTTATTTGTTACAACGGTTGTTTTCTTTTCGTCAGCCTTGTTGATGTTCGATTGTTCTTCTACTCGCGATTCAGTCTGACAGAGGATTTTTCACTACAGGAAAATCAGGGATTACCAGCGGCCTTTACCGATGGTCCTATAACTGCCAGAATTACCGGCGATTAAATCGGCTGTTTGATCGCCGGTATTTCCCGGTGGTGTATCTGACAGTTTTTAATAATACACCACCGAAATTAGTGGCGGTATAATAACCCCTGGCTTGGCCATCGATATTTTGATTTCTAGGCTCTATTATCGATGGCCATGCCGCCGGGTCTAAACCGTTGGAAAACTACCAGAAATTGTCATAATATTGGCCAAACTAAGTTTTCCTCTTCATTTCTTTGTGTATCAGACTAAAAGACATTCGCTCGTGATCGCGCCTCTAACTGCCTCAGCAGAAATCCGGCCGCCGACACCCTCTCTCTGGCTGACGATCTTGCCCTCACTCCGGCCGCCGATCACGCCCGCATTCTACCGCCAAAAGCCGTCGATCGACAACGCACCGAATCGAAGGTTTGCATTTTCAAAACTGTTGGAAAGATTTATGGAGCATAGATTGCTGCGTGATGCTAATGTTTAGCAAAATCAATTTGGATTCATGCTAGGTAGCTCAACTATGGAAGCTATGTATTTTTTTTATTATGTTATAGAAAAGAAACGTGTTAATAATGCTTATATTCATATCATTAAGAATATGTATGCAAGATTTATTACTTGTTGGATTATATTAAAGAAATGGGTTAATAATGTTTATATTCATGTCATTAAGGATATGTATGCAAGATTTATTACTTGTTAGATTATATAAAAGAAATTGGTTAATAATGTTTATATTCATGTCATTAAGGATATGTATGCAAGAGTAATAACTTGTTGGATTATAGAAAAGAAAGGGGTTAATAATGCTTATATTCATGTCATTAAGGATATAAGAGTTATTACTTGTTGGATTACATCAAGGATCGGCCTTAAGTCCATATCTTTTTGCTTTAGTCATAGATGTTCTCACTAGAAATTTGCAAGAGATTGTACCTTAGTGTATGTTTATTTTTGAAGATATTTTTTTTCGTTTAAATATATATTTTAAATAATAGTTATTGTGGAGAGATTGCGACCATGAGTGATCAAGTCATTAATAAGAGTATATATTTTAAATATATTCGGTCTATTATTTTGAGTGATGGTGAAATAGATAGGATTTTTATTAGTAGAATTCAAGTTGGATGGTTAAAGTGAAGGAATGTTTTGGACTTGTTATGTGATAAAAATGCCCCCCTCAAATGTAAGGGAAATTTCTATAAGAGGGTGGTTAGAACTGTAATGCTTAAATATCTTATTCAAACATAGGTATCATATCCTAAACTATTGTTGGATAGTTGGTGAATGCATTCCAATTCAAGTAAATCATACTTGTTCAAGCTACATATATTCTAATAATTGATTTTACAATTATGTAGGGAAAGTTTGCTTTAACATCCAAATGACTATACAAGAAGAGAGATATTAGATGTATAACAGATTATTACTAAGTCGAAGAGGATTGACAAATTAATTTATATAGGGAGTTGAGACTTTTATTTATGTTACATTCAACTACATTCCTTTAAGTTCGATAGAATTTTTAGATGTTCATATTCGAAGCACAAAAATCAAGCATTCCTCAAGTCTGATGATGTGAAGGTCGATTTATATCGTAGGGGATTTATTCCAGACTATTAGATTTGGACCTCATATGGCGAGTGTGAGAGCTCGTTTCTTTGATTTCTTTCCAGGATCGTCCGGGACGATGTTGAGATCGTCCAGGACGATCAGTGAAACAGCTGATGTTTGAGGTGGATCGTCTGGGCCGATTTGGGATCGTCCTGGGACAATCAGTGCATGGCAAAAGGCAGTGAGTAAGGGTTTTTATCGTTCGAGAAAATTAATTATCGTCCTCAGATATCGTCCTGGACGATTGGATTTTGTTCATATCGTCCTGGACGATGTGGCGATCGGCTGGGCCGATCAGGTTTGTATTAAAAGGAAATCAGCTCGTTTTGAAGAGAGAGAAAAATCATTTTTTATATCAAAATATCTGAGGAGAGAGAAGGAGAAGGAAAGCAAAGGAAAAGCTGGATTTCGAAGGCCGCGGAGCGCTTTTCGTCCATCGCCGCTGTTGGGAGAAGTGTTTATCTCGCAGTAAGGACTCCGAACCCTATTTCTGTTTTCGAAGATGTCGAGTTTTGGTATTTCTGTGCTCAGATTTGTATTTTCGTTACCGAAAAATGCTCATCATTTTGTATTGACGAAAGTTTTACCGCACAACTTTTGGTATGTTTCTGATATGGTATTTCTACACGTTTTAATTATTTTCTGGAGAATTTTGACTGGATAGTTTTGATTTGACGGTGTTTTATTTTGACTGTAAATTCTGGTGATGTCTGAAATTGTTTGGGTAGTAGAATAAAAATCTTATAATGTTGTTGTGAACGTTCTATACTAATTTGGTAATTTGTGAATTCTGTAATTTTTGTGTAAATTTTGTATACTGCCGTTATGCCGCTAGATTTTCGTACGATTTTCGATTTTCTAAAATTGATGATTTGAATTGATATGCATACAAATGTGAATATATGATTGATTTATTGAATTACGGTTACTGAAAGACAAGTAAAGACTGATTGAACCGTTGGTTGGAGATTGACTTGACCTGTACAGGATGGTGGGCCGACGGGCTTTCCTTTAAAAAGGGTTTGACGATATCCTCTATTGATCATTGATATAACGATTGGGAGGCATAAGGAGATTCTTATGCCGACAGGCACAGAGTGACGACTCTTATTGAACCAACAGATAGATATATTTATGGATTTGTACAACAACACCATGGATTGAAAAACGCCTTAACAGCCAGTGATTGTACTTGTTCAGTTAGACTATTGTATTGAAGTGCATGTGTACGGTATTGACATGTTGATCTCGTGATGGATTTATTGATTTATTGATTTTGTATGGCTTTACGGACGGATTTACGGGTTTGCTGTTACTGTACGATTTCATTAATATTCGCATTATGGCACTAAGCATTGATACTGATACTGTTATGGATATTGATATTGATATAATATTGATACTATGGATTCATTGATGTTGATTGATACTATCGCTTCATTGATACACCGTATTGAACTGTTGCAAGGATTAGGTTTCATTGTATTGATTCGATTTCAACCGTTCTTGCCCTGTATTGGTTTTATATGATTGATTTCATGATTTCATACCGATCGATTTCATTGACCAGAGAGTATTGCTTTGCTTGATTCGATTTGATACAATTGCTTCGACTGAGCGACTTGAGACTCTTATGCATAGATTTTTCTACTGTTTATTGATTCTCCTATCGCTGACTATGGATTTTATCGATTGTGTATTGACTACTGATTTTCGTATCTGTATAGATTCATTGATCATGTGTAATTGATTGTTATGGATTCGCTTGATTGACATGCATATTGTTTCTAGTACCGTGCTTTGATTTCAATTGTAGGTATTAGGTGACTTGCTGGGCTTTTTGAAGCTCATTATATGTAGTTAATATTTTCAGGTCAGGGCAAGGGAGCAGGAGATTGTGGTTGATCAGGAATCTCCAGGTTTTTGTTCTTTTGGTTTTAGTGATTCTTTTGTACTCAGGACAGGATAGATTTCAGTTCATGTGTTTATAGTGTAGCTTCTGAGTATTGTATATGATCTTTTGAGATATGAATAGAACTGTACATTGATGTTTTAAATTATAGATTTTTGTTAGACTGTTATTGATTGAAGATTATAGATAGCTCTGGTAAATGGTTTTAATGAATTGACTGAAATTCTTTCCAAATTAGACTGCACTATCAGTCTTTATAAGTCATAAAAAGCCCAGTGACAAATGTGTTGAAAGATTCCTCAATAATTTAGAAATCAAAATAATGACTTTCTATGTGGTACTGAACTAAAAAAGTCCAATCAATCTTAGAGTAAGTTCTTTCATAATGTGCAAAAGGAGTAATGTTTATTTGAAATACTAAAGTCTTATTTGAAAGATTTGTCACCAAGTATTTCATAAACAATTTGCCTCTAACAGATACTACGGATGTTGAGCAACTTTTTGCAAATGAATTTCTAGCTTGGTTTAGATCTTATGTGAGCTATTAAATTTTAAAATTTTTATTTGAATTACAACTTATTTAATACTAAAAATCCTAATATTTTAAAATTTTCTTAGATACATAACTCTGATAATAAGTATTTTAATAAAAGTTTGCAAGCACTAGCATGGAGCTTAATACAAAAATTAAATACCCGGCCAATTTATATAGTGAATGAGCTAAGATTTCATTCCAAGTCATGGAGTGAAAGAAGAAAAACTGAAAATTATAAAGTATGTGTTAGAGAGAATCTCCAATATCAAAGCTCCATATAATCACATATTTCAATAATTAGATATAAATATATATAATTGAATTGCACTAAAAAATATTAATAAACTAATTTTAGATATTCATATAATGCTTTACGAGTAGGCAACATATTTAACAATTGATTAGAATTTCAAACTTTCAAATTTCATCAATTTATCAGGGGTTGTTCATAACACTATTTTGAAGATTTAATTATACTATCATATTATTTTCTAGGATCAAAATTATTTTCTAATTAGATAAAATAGCATATTTTTGAATTGATCCAATAGAAATTCTCTAGAAAAGTATCTAAATGTGTAGAGTTGTCATATAACATATATAAAGTTACATGGCTAAAATTTTATGAGTGTAAAGTTATTCTCATTTTTATGCAAATTTATAATTTAAATGAAAAAATCTAAGTTGCCTAAAAAATGGGGGTGAGGTTGGCAAAATAAAAATGAAGTGAAATTTGATATTTTTATAAAAAGATGATTTGGCAACACGACGCTCAACCCCATAACATTGCATTGCTCTCCACTAGAGGTTACAACGCTGCAATATTGAATTGTTTTGGTAAAAAAGATAAAGAGCTTACATCACTATTAACCTAGGTGTCGCAGCGTCGTTTCAAGGAATTTTTTTTTTTTCATATATTTTAGTCAGTGTAAAAGAAATACTTTCAAATTGTTTGAATAAGTGTAAACTAAATTTAGGTGAATATTTTTTTTTTATAGTAAAATAAATATAATATAAAGACTAAAGTTGGTGGTGACCGATGGGTGCTGGCAGCAAGTGGTGGCGGCTGGTGGTGGGTGGCAGTGGTGTCCGGCAAAGGCCAATGGTGGGTAACGGCGGTGGTTGGTGGTGGCGGCTGGCGGTGGTCAAACTAGGTTGTTTGCGGTTTAAACCGTTCTCATTCAAAACTAAGCGAGTTTGAATTACCCTTAAAAAATAAAATGATTTACACTACATTTTCTTTACTTTTTATTTATTTTTCAGAAAAATCAAATGTCAAAATTTTTAAATCCCTACACTTATTTAGAATCCTAACAAACAGGTTTCTTTATTTTCTTATTACTTCATTACTATTAGGATATCAAACCGTAGAATACACTGATGGCCTATAGATTGTAGCATGAAGTGCCTCAAGATCAGTTATAAAAAATCAAAAATTTTAATTATAATTTTGAAAATTCATTTGACTTGTTGAATTATGAATCCGATCATACCATATTGAGATGAAAAATATGTAGCTGCAATATGTTTTAAAAAGATGTAACTGGTTATTGTATTTTGTTTTTAGTTTTAAAGATTTAGAAACTATACTTATCAAATCTAGTCTTGAAAAGATGTTCAAAATCCAAAGGATTTTGGCAAAATTATGATTATTCAGGCAATTTTGAATTTTAGAAATTCAAGATTAAAAAAAAAATTATTTTAACTGAAATTTTAAGAATTCAAAAATTTTCCTACCAAAATTCACTATAGGAAAATCACCCATAACTGTTCCAATGGATTACGTCCTTCGATTTTATCTTCCTAGAATTTGGCCAAAAACTGTGATGATCCTTTCGGACACTAAAGCCATTATCGTGAGCATAAGTGCAAAAACATTCATATGCTTCTGTCTCATCTTTGTATACAGCCTGAAAGGGCAAGTATAGCGCAAGTAAAGGGCAAGTATAGCGCAAGTAAAGGGCAAGTATAGCGCAAGTAAAGGGCAAGTATAGCGCAAGTAAAGGGCAAGTATAGCGCAAGTAAAGGGCAAGTATAGCGCAAGTAAAGGGCAAGTATAGCGCAAGTATAGCGCAACTATAGCGCAACTATAGCGCAACTATAGCGCAACTATAGCGCAACTATAGCGCAACTATAGCGCAACTATAGCGCAACTATAGCGCAACTATAGCGCAACTATAGCGCAACTATAGCGCAACTATAGCGCAACTATAGCGCAACTATAGCGCAACTATAGCGCAACTATAGCGCAACTATAGCGCAACTATAGCGCAACTATAGCGCAACTATAGCGCAACTATAGCGCAACTATAGCGCAACTATAGCGCAACTATAGCGCAACTATAGCGCAACTATAGCGCAACTATAGCGCAACTATAGCGCAACTATAGCGCAACTATAGCGCAACTATAGCGACAAGTTCAGTTTTTTTATTTGTCATCTTCAACCTAAAATCAATAATGAAAGCTAAGAAACAACAACATTATATTTTCTTTTTTTTTTTTACTTTTTCGACAAAAGAAATTTATTAAAAATCGCAAAATATAACATCCTAAGACTAATGAGCTGAAACCTACGTCTTCTTTCTGCGGCGATAATATTAAAACTGACTGTTTACAACTTTCTAACTTACCGAAATGTTGAAACCAGAGGAATTTCCGGCTACGTTAGCTTCCGATTCCGATTCGTGCATCCTTTCCGATTCATGCATCCTTTCCGATTCATGCACTCCCTCTTCCATTCCCTCTTCGACCTCCCTCTTCGCTGAGCAGTCCATTTCTTCTCTGCAATTTTCTGGCTCATTTTTTCTTCTACAGCAGTCTTTATTTGCGTCTTTCGCGGCTTTCAAAATGAAAAAATAGGGCGGCAATTGCTCAAAAGTTTATCAGGTCGGGTCGCTAACTCTGACAAGACATAAATCGTTAATATTAAATTAAAAAAAAGCCTAACAGATGTCGCGTTTTTATTGGCGACCGAACGGAGAGATGGCTTCGGTCACCTGACCCAATAATTTGCCCAGCGAGAGAAGTCGGCCTGACAGCATGCAAGGGCAGGTGAAAAATTGCGCGCAAGAAGTCGTCCTGACAGCATGTGCGGGCAGGTCGAAAAATTCCGAGCACTAGACAACTGATATATTCTAAAAAGTTTTCCGGCGGTTTATTTTCGAAGGAAAATTTTATTTGACGTATGTTTTTCCGGCAAAAAATTTTTTGACAAAAACTTTTCAAATCCACCAAAAAAACTGCTGGTAATACGTTATTTTTCTGTGGTGATTTAGGTTTGATAGAAGGTTAGATATTCAAGATTTCATTATTTCAAACAAAATTTTAAACCATACGTATCAAATTTGCACTAAAAAAGTGGTTTTAGAATTTAAAAATTATTCAAATTTATAAACTTTGAGGATTTTAGAAGCATATATACCTGCCAAATTAAAGATTGATTGGGGTTTCTAAAATGTAGATGTTGACAACAGTTGTTCAAAAAAGAAATGAAGAACTTAGCAAATGGAAGAAGGATAATTTTTCTTATGAAGAATGTAAGTATACTATTGATATATAAAAATATTAGACACTATTAAAGATGGAGAGAAGAACTCATCCCCACTGAAGTTTTTATAAAATTAAAAAAAAAAAGTAAAATGCAGATTTAAAAATTCTATTTTTTGTCATAAAATACTACATGGAGAATAACATATCATTTTAAAAGACAGAAATTTATTTTACAATGTATTAGAAATTAAAATAGGATTTTAAAAAAATGTCTATGTTCCCAAAGATTTTCTTCCTACCTAATGTGTGTAAGATAATGTTTATTTTAATCTAATAATAGATTCTTAATAAAAGCAAGCATTTATGATTAATTATATCCCAATATAAATGATCTCTTGGGGAACTCTTAATTAAAATAGTGGCAAACATTTTTATAATTTTAAATTTTAGAGAAGGATGTTCTTCTAAAATTTCAATTAGGTTTAGCTCAAATTTAGAATAGCATTCTTGAGAATCAATGGAAGTCAAGTAGGTGCACTTAATTCTAAAAAGATTTAAATTATTCCAAACTATCATTCATTGAGTTTTAAAGTTCTAAGGTTTTGAATTTATTATTTAAGTTATTTATTTTATTAAAAATTTTGGGCTTACATTTCATCAATACAAGATTGAAAAAATGCATAGTTCGTGAGGACTTATGATGTAGCAAATGAAAAACTATTAGCCTCGAATCCTAAAACTACAAAGAAAACTACTACACAAGTTCCCCTCTTAGACCATCTCCAACCAAAATACTCATTTTTCAGTTCAAAATATAATAATACTCTAAAATATATTAACTCAACATTAACCAAACTCCATTTCTTAACAAGAAAAATATTCTATTTATATTCTTTTTCAATTTATTTTTATATTTCCTTTTAATCATATCTTTATATTCATCAATTTTTTAAATTAAACCTTCATATAATTTTTTTAACAAAAATAAATCTCTTTTAACCAAAAATATATTAAAATTATATAATTAATAACATAATATATTTGAAAAGAAAATTTAAAATACACCAAAATTTACATTTTAAACACATAATTTAATTTTCAATCATTTTATAATATTTTTTATTTTAAAAAAAATCATCCAAGAACAATAGGACGCCAATATTGAGATCCTACTGTTCACCCTGACATGAACGGTGTGTTTAAGCGAATGGATGGAGCAAATGACAGACATCTAATAAGTGTTAGGTGTTCAGTTGGAGATGATCTTACCAGTTCAAATCCTAACTATGACAAAGGGAGAAACGAGATGATAAGCTAAGCTCTGTATAATTTCCTAAACTGTTCAAACCCTCATAATCATAATGATTGCATGGATATAATTTCATACAATTATCAATATATCATACAATTTACAATTCCGACACCGAATATCAATTCTCTTTAGCATAAAACCTGCATCATCGCAAGAAGAACCAGCAGCTCCATGGAAGTAATAATCTGATATAACAAATCGTAGATACATCAAAACACTCAATATTATAGGTGAGATAAGATTAAGCCTACTGTAAAACTACACAACAAGACATCTAGAAATCCAGTGATATCGATCAAAGGGCAACGCAAACCTTTACTTTTTGGTAGATTAACAACCAGAAGCTGCCTCAACAGCTAATGGAAACTTAGCACTTTGTACCTGCTCCCAATATATGAAAGAAATGCAAATATTAAATGAAGAAAAATATAACTCTACAAATATACAGACTAAGACAGATTTGGGCCATTTAGAGACCGTTTCTAAGGGCAAATCATTGGCGCGGGACTGGCGGTGCGGCTGGAAGCTGCCCGTAGAATCCGATCCCAGAAGGAAAAAAGCCGCCGGTGGGTGGTTGCTGCTGAGGATGTTGTTGTTTTGGTTGGGGCGGTGTGGCCGGAGGTGGTGGTTGTGTTGGAGCATTTGGTCTTGTCATTCCTACTGATACATGTGAAGGAAAAGATGGAGGTGGCAGAGGACTACCATTATACCCAAATGGTACAGAATTCATCAGTACTCCACTGCTTTGCATATAAGTTTGAGGTTGCATTGATTGTGGGGGAGGGGCGGATGGCAGAGGTGGTGGTTGTGTTGCGAACGGCTGTAATGGTTGAGTACTGTGTGGTATTGGCTGAATGCTTGTGGCAGATGATTGCGGTAGTACAAGAGGAAGAGAAGGAAGTTGATGTTGGTGTTGCTGTTGTTGTGTGATATGCCCGAAGAATTTACTGTTCATATCTGTAATGGACATTGGCTTCTCTAGCTTTGGTCTTTTGTCTGGAGGAAGCATGGGGTTACTAGAGGTGATGAATCCTGAGCTTTGGCTTCCATTCATCGAAGCAGCTTCTTCGGCGACTAAGGATGAGAGGATAGATGTGAGCACTTGTGCAGAAGAAGTGGACGCTGCAAGCTTTGCAGCAACTGCAGCAGCTGCCTTTTTGTGCTCATCCTCAACACTGGTTGTGGCATTCATGGAAGATGTTATTGGCTGTTGGTTGTGTGATGGTAGCATGGGTGGTGTTACTAGTGAGGTCTCCACTTGCGGGGCCATCGGCACGGATGCCAAGTTAACAGATGCAGAAGGGACAATAGTGGTAGGTATTGATGCAAGCATCTGCCTCATGTTGATGGCATGCTCTGCTTCTTTTTGAGCAACCTGCATTTGTTGTTTGATCATCAGGCTTGATTAGAGTGTAAAGCAGTTGAAATAATGTCTGAAATATATTATATTATTAAAAAGACAAAACTTGAAGCAGGATATTAGCTAAGTCAGACATGAAGCGGGATTTTCAAACATAAGCATCAAGAGAATTCAACAGAAATTTGTAAACACATAAAATAATAGATTGAACTCCCATATATATATATATATATATACACACATACAAACATATCAGAATTGTAAATCAAGGTTTTAAAAGGTGAAATCAGGAATCGAGGCGTTTTTTCTAAGCGAGGCGAGGCGAGGTGTAAGCCTCGAGGCGGATCGAGGCGTAAGCCTCAAAACGATTAAAATAAATTAATTTAAAATTATAAATAATGACACAAAATAACAAAATATTATGTCAACTATGAATTTGAAGATTTGTTTTAAGATAATATTACTGGAATACAAGATTTAAAATAAACTCAGTTAAAAATAAAATATCCTCTTAGGATCAAGACCCAAAGCAGGCTCATCATCACTTTGATTGTCTTCAGAAGAATCTTCATAATTAATGTCAAAGTCATCCTCCAACTCTTCTTCATCTATAATATTTTTTTCCTTTATCTCCTATATCAGTTAATATTTCATTAGCTCTAAAATGAAACAATAGTAACATACAAAATAATTCATTATATTTAAGAATACATTTAATTTTTTTTTAAGCTCCAATCTCACTTTGTTTCTTTCTTTTATATGCTTGGGTAGTTGCTTCATTGTCTTCTTCATTGACATGACTTTCTCCTTCTACTTCAACTTCAGATACATCAGCATTCTTAGGAGTAACTCATTCATCATCAGATTGTAACTCATCAACAAGCAAAGGGTCACTTTCATTCTCAATATTTCCTCGATTTTGCAATTTGAGATGTCTATCTTTCAATTTTTTGTTAAACATAACATAAACTAGTTTGTTCATTCGATCTGCCGCTAATCGATTTCTTCTCTTTGTATGAATTTGATTGAAGATACTTCAATTACGCTCGCAAGCAGAAGCCGAATACGTTAGGCTAAGAACTTTAACTGCAAAAGCTTTCAATTCAGGAACATCATCTCCAAACTGAGCCCACCAACGTTCTACATGAAGATAAACATAGTATTTTATGAATATTGATTGAAGAAGAAGACTTGAATATAAATATTAACATTAAAATTATAAATACTCAAACTATAAACATACCAGGAGATCGTGTTTTGTAGCATGCTTGTGCTGCTCTAAATCCAAACATTCTTTTCTTCAAATGAAAATCCTCAAGTTGAACATTCACTTTGAGGTAGTCTTCTTCAGAAACGAGTCTGTCCATACATGCATACAAACCAATTTCACCTCTTTGTCAACATAAAAATCCTTATCATAATGAAATTAGGGATTTAAATAGTACGTAGCAGCATGTAAGTGTTGGTGTAATTATTGATCCCACTTTTTATCTATAATATCCCATATTTCTTTATAGGCACTTTCTTGACCTCCCAATTCTTTTGCAATATCTTATTTAGCCATATTCATTGCTTCATAAATAAATCTCATAGCCGGGGCCCTCTCACCATCAACCATTCTAAGCACCTTTATTAATGGTCCTGTTGTCTTCAAAACGTAATTTGTGCTGCGCCAAAATGAATCGCCTTTCATAACAATCTTTTTAACTTGTTTTCCTTCTTGTTTTTTGGCCCATTAACATTTATTCCACTCTTCAGAAGCAAACATTACTTCCAGAGGTTATCTTAACTCCTTGAATCTCTGCAATGTTAAATATGCAGTAGCAAATCTTATAACAACAGGTTTAATAATTTCTTTGTCAGTGAATTTTCTCATCAAGCTGAGTACCCAAGAATGATTGTAGGTAAACTTACTAACAAATTTGGCCTTCTATATGGCTGATTTATGTTGAGGCAACTGTCCCAACCTCTCAAGTATCAAGTCAATACAATGTGCAGCACAAGGAGTCCAGTAAATGTGAGTCCTCTTCTCCATTAACATTCTTCCTGCAGCTTTGTATGCACTTGCATTATCAATAACAACATGTACTACTAAGGCATCTCCACTTCCTCCACAACTTCATCCAACATTTCAAACAATAATTGAGCATCATTTACAAAGCTTGAAGCATCTACTAATTTGAGAAAAACTGTTCCATATAGATTGTTGACCAAGAAATTAATAATGCTTCTATGTCGAATATCTGACCAACCATCTGACATTATTATCACTCATGTCTCAATCCAAGTCTTCTTAACATCATCCACCATTTTTAAGTTGTCTTAACCTCCTCATTCAGCATCCAAGTAAACATATCCCTTCTTTGCACCTTCGCCTGACACTTCAACTTGAGTGCCATATTTCCATACAAGATCTTTCCTTCTTGTGCCACTAGTCATGCTAACAATAGGACATATTTTAACAATTATTTGTACTACCAATAATAAAACAACGTGAATTATACCAGTCTGTCGGGGGTCCAAGGGGGCGCTACCCCCTGGCGGGGTTCAACCTATAATTCTGAAATTACAGTAATTTTGAAATTCTGCTTGTTGTATATGCTCAATACCGAGCGCACCGAGCATGTGCCGCTCGGTACCGAGCGTATACTTGCTCGGTACCGAGCATGTACTTGCTCGGTACCGAGCGGTACTGGCTCGGTACCGAGCGGTACTGGCTCAGTACCGAGCATCTACTGAGCAGTACTGAGCATGTACTAAGTGGTAGCAGTACCGAGCTTGTACATGCTCGGTACCGAGCTTGCACATGCTCGGTACCGAGCTTGCACATGCTCGGTACCGAGCTTGCACATGCTCGGTACCGAGCATGTACTGAGCAGACGAATGAAAGAAAGTCGAATCAGGAGTTATTCAAGCTTTCATTACTGCACGTCAAAGTCAAGGCCACAACACCGCGTACCTGCTCTTCCGACCTAACTGATGCCTAAACGTTTCCTGCACTCACAACTTCGGCTTCGTTTCTTTCCCTGCGTCGTCTCCTTCCGACTTCGTCTCCTACGCTCACGGCTTCATCTCCTTCCCTCACGGCTTCGCCTCTAGTTCGTCTTTCAATTCTCACAGGAAGACCTAATCCTATATGCGAATACACGAACACGAATCGGCTGCGTCGTATTTACATATAAACCGAAGAAAAAATTTCAAGGCGGTGCCTCATACTGCCTCGAGGCGTTACGCTCTAATGCGTACACCTCGTGCGAAAAAATCGTAGGCTTCGCTGGATGGTTCGAGGCGTAAGCCCAGATACGCATGACTTCTGTCTCGACTTGAGGCGCGACTCAATGCGGACGCCTCGTCCGCTTTTTTAATGGTTGCTGTAAATGCACTTAATCAAATCAAGCTCACTAGGCCACTTTGGCTTTTGGATCTCAACATCATTAAGGGCTACTCCACTTGATTCAATCACGACTCAATTGGTCTATATGTATCATATAAATGGATAAGTTATAGATCATATCTTATTCCAAAGCCATATGAACATGTTATGATGATCCTATAAAACCTTATATCAAAACTCTAATCTCTCATTTCCCCCAATTATTGTCGACTCACATTTTCTCCCCCGCCCCCAACACCAAATAAACACACCAATTCTAGAAGCAAAAAGCTCAATCACCCATGTCAGTGTACACTCCTATCCTTGAAGCTGCCATCACCACCACTAGAAGATGTCGGAACTTTATTCACGTTGAGACCTATTTGCTGGAGTAGAAGTTCCTCTGCATTAGCTTATACCTATGTGCAGAAATACAAGACAACTGAACACATAGAAACAAAGAAGCAAGAAGAAGAAGATAAGCAAAAGAAGAAAGGGCAGGGTTAAGAGACTACAAAGAAGAAAAAATGCCATTATATTTGCAAACTAGTAGTAGGTTAGGAAAACAAATTGAAGGACACACGGAAAATAGCTAATGGAGGGAAAGGCTACCAACGCTGGACATTCCTCAATCAATCTGCATTGCTACGTGGTAGCTTAAGTGTGCTCCTGATGCTGGCAAACAAGCCTGATTTTTTTTTAATGTTACTTGAATCATTATAGATTCATTAGACCACAAAGTTATTTTAATTCTTTTCAGGCTTATTTTAGCCTATCCTTAAGGCTGTTAGTTGGCTCTTAACGATCCTATAACATAAATGGGATTATTAAGAAGAAATTACATTGATCTACTGTATTATAAATGAAAGTTTCCCTTTTCCATGGATGTGAAGTTCTTGATCAAGTATGAGATAAAAAGCCCTTCTAGGGTGTAATGTCCTAGTTCAAGCACAAAGGTTGTGATTAAGTTTTCTTAATCATTGTTATTTAGTTTAATCCAACTATTCCTATTTTCTGACGTATGTATTGTCTTTACTAATTCTTTCATGGATCGTTTTTACCTTAAAATTTGAGCTAATTAAGTTTAATTAGTTAGTTAAGCCATAATTTGGATTAATTTGAGGCCAAGCATTGAACTTGGTTTCATTTAAATAGGTGAAGAACCCAGTAAATTTAAGAATGAGCTTAATTGAACATACAAAACATTAATCTCATGCATCAAATTGAGAAGAAATGCCACCTAATTAATTGGGTTTTGTAGAAAACTATCACAATATGAAAAATTATTTTAAATTTTATTGCTTGAATCAATACAAAGTGTGAAGTATATAAACACTAATTCAAAAATAAATCAAAGTTGTTTACAAAAAAGGAAAACAAAGCACCCAAGATGAGGCCACAACTAGAAGTGAAAGAGTAGACACACGGAGTGCGATCTAAAGATCATAAGAGGACCAATCTAATGGTTAGAACTTAGAACTCTTGATCCGTATCAAAGTTCCCTACAAAGATTGGTTGACTATGATTCCCAAATCAATTAATTTTTTATACTATCACATATCTACTCTTTTCATTCTTTATCTGCATCCAATTTTTGACATAGTTTAGTTAGGGTTTCACAAGATATACAATCAATCATTTT